GCCCCATGCATTCAGCAGCAGCAGGCCATTCACTTTGATTTGATCGGTATGAAATGTCATAATTTCGACAATAAAGAAATGCTACATAAACGTTATCTTGCACATTTTATCCAACCATCTCCGTTTCTAACTTTCAATATATTTTAAAAGAGATCTCTCTCTCATCTGCGTGCGCGGGCGGGGCCTCACAGACACTCTGCATCATCTCTCTCTCGCTCACAGACATGCAGCGCTGTGCAGTGTGCACAGTTCTGCCGGTAATGAATATTACATTTTGTGAGGAAACTTTTCCACCAATAATTCCAATAAGTATTCCAAAATGTATTCACTTCAGGTTTACGAAAGTAACTGTAATCAGATTACTCGTTTTTCAAATGTAACGCCAGCTGAATACAGTTAGCCTACTTGATTTTTATATTCTGCGTAACGCCGTTACATGTATTCCGTTACAACCAGTCTATGGTTACAACCCAACCCTACTTCTAGGCTACTATCCCGCAGCTCCTGCCTCTCTGGCCCTGTCTCAGGTCGACTATTTTCATTTCCTCGCTCCTCGGTCTTCGGTCTCACCGGAAGTTGATTTGTCTGCGCCATCTTGAGTACCGTCCCATGGCTCTTATTTCTGCCGGAGGACCAAGGATCGAGGATTGATAATGGAGGAGCGATAATCGAGGAACCACCAGACCATCCTCCGATGAAATCCTCAGACACTCGCCCCGCCCCCTTACTGTGTATCGCTCACTGATTGGACGATGCAGTGCATGCATTGATCTCATGCTTCTTGACATGAGTCTAGAGCCGTTTCCCAGCGGAGTGAAGAAAATAAATGAAACTTACGAGAGTCACTCCTCAGTTTATACTGTGTTTTGTTTCAATTCATGTTTCATTTAGTTACAAATATGTGATATATCTGAACAACAAAGTGGTCAAAAATCATTTTATTCATTTATTGGAAACATTTTCATGATCGCTTTTTTCGTTTTATATGTTCATTTATTGTCATTTCCATTCAGTCAGTCATTAAGTGCTATTAAAATGTTAATGTGCTACATATCCACATACAAACAAAGTGTGCAATCCAATGAATGTTAATCTAACTGGGTTTTGATAGATAATATATCTCTTTTTCTTCTCTCAATTATTTTATTTCTATTGTGCAATCTAATCAATATTAATCAAACTATTGTTCGTTTATACATTTTAAGAATGGCGTTTATCTTTTTTGAGAATGAGTTCTTATTTGATTTTATTTATTGGGGTCTACAACAGATGATACAAATGTTTGTGTCAGTAAATGTGTAGGCGGGGGTGTTTGTGAAAATAACGGGGACAGAGCTGCTGTCGACGAACAGCTGTGCGGCGTCATCACAAACGGACGTCGCTTCACGTGACGCTCCGGAGGAAAGGACGTCCCATTGCTCTTAAAACTCATTTCCCTTGCGTCCCTCCATGCTTCCCTGGTGGGAGGGACTAGTCGCAGGGAAACGACGCAAGTGAGGAAAGCAAGGATTTAATTTAACCGACCTGAGACGGGGCCTCTGTTGGACTCCGTCGCAGCGGGGCTACTGCTGCGGAGCCAGTGTTGCCAACTCCATAGTAAGGAAAGTAGTTATTGGCTGTCCGGAAAGTCGGCATAAGTCGCTAAATGACGTCATCGCCTAATTTGCATATCATGTAATGGCGGCTGTAGGAGAGAGCATGGTAGAGGGGAGGACAAAAAACGTTCCCAACCCTTTAAGGATCATATTCTGGACTTCTCCAGGAAAGCATCATGATGTTTAGCTTGTCACAGAGATGTTGAGCTTATCACAGAGAGGCACACACACAGTGGACGAGGTGATTGAGTGACTGAGGCTGTGTGAGTCAAAGCAAAGCAAAGGCAGTTATTTATTAGAGTGTGAAAGTGAGTGAAGAAACATTTACATTTTACATTTAAATCCCGCTCAAAACCAGGACAGCTTGGCAGTTGGCGCATGCGCAATTCATTTGCAGTCTCGACGCGGGGGAGTGTGGTTGTCTCCTCTCTGCTCTGACTGCAGCAGCAGCTCTGCTGCGGCCAGGCAACTGTCAGTCTGAGCGCCTGTGAGTACTATGGGAGGGAGGCGGGGCTCACGGCAGCACCCGCGGCTCGTTAACTGCAGAACAATGTGAGTCTCCAAACACCAGAAAAGTCCCTAATAACACCATTATAAATCATTAGATTAGTCGTTAGTCGCTTTTGACACAAATAAGTAGCCGGAGGGTTTGGAAAGCCGCCAAATTTAACGAGAAAATCACCAAGTTGGCAACACTGTGCGGAGCTCACAAATCAGACTCTTCACAACGAAGGGTCACTTCTTCTTGAAGGCAGGGAAGGTTTCGCAGTACGCAGTCTGCTGCCTCTCTGTTGGACTCCGGTACTGCACCTTACTCACGACGTTGTAAAAAAAAAAAATGGGTGGGAGGCGAACGCAGTAACCACTCAGCCAACGCCACAGTCACCCCCGTCGTGCGGGCCGGATGAGAATGTCTGGCGGGCCGGATGAGAATGTCTGGCGGGCCGGATGTGGCCCGCGGGCCGCCAGTTGGTGGTCACTGTCCTAACCTATCAGGCTCTCCTCTCCTCTTTCTCTGCTTCGATCTCTCAGGCAAAAAGCACTTTCTTTCAAGATAAGATCCAATCTTCCTATTCCAATCCCAAAAAACTATTTTCCATCTTCTCCACCCTCTTGGACCCTCCCAAAGCCCCTTCCCCCTCCTCCCTTCTGTCAAGCGACTTTGTTAACCACTTTGAAAAAAAGGTTGATGATATTCGCTCTTCTTTTTCTGACTCACCTTTACTCACCACTGGGTCACCAGACCCTCCTTTCACCAACACACTGACCTCCTTTTCCCCTCTCTCTCCAAGTGAGGTTATTACCCTCATTACCTCTGCCCGCCCTACCACCTGTCCTCTGCACCCTATCCCTTCAAACCTCCTTCAGACTATCGCTCCTGATATTCTACCGTTTCACACCCATTTCATCAACACTTCTCTAACTTCTGGTCACTTTCCAAACAGTCTCAAGGAGGCAAGAGTAAACCCTCTCCTAAAAAAAAACACTCTCAACCTGTCTGATGTTATAAATTACAGGCCTGTCTCTCTCCTCCCGTTCCTGTCTAAAACACTTGAACGCGCTTTCTTTAAACAACTCTCCTGTTATCTCCATCAGAACAACCTTCTGGATCCGCACCAGTCTGGTTTCAAGGCAGGTCACTTCACAAAAACTGCCCTCCTTGCTGTCACTGAGGAACTGCACACTGCTAAAGCAGCCTCCCTCTCCTCTGTCATCATCCTTTTGGACCTGTCTGCTGCATTCGACACGGTGAATCATCAGATCCTCCTTCGCACTCTCCAAGAACTTGGAGTTTCAGGCTCTGCACTTTCCCTCATCACCTCATACCTTAAAGACCGCACCTACAGGTTTACTTGGAGAGGGTCGGAGTCCGACCCTTGTCAATTAACTACAGGGGTCCCTCAGGGCTCTGTTCTTGGTCCCCTCCTCTTCTCCTTGTACACAAACTCGCTCGGATCTGTCATTAGCCCGCATGGTTTTTCATACCACTGCTACCCAATTAATCCTGTCCTTTCTCCACTCAGAGACCCAGGTCGTCGCAAGCATCTCTGAGAATGAGAGCACCACAGACAGTGGAAGCTTTTAAAAAAGGCCTCAAAACCCATCTCTTCAAAAGAGCCTTTGCCTAGACCTTTTTATCACCCTTTTATTTTTTTTATTTTTGTATTGCTTTTTATTAATTCTACCGTGTTATGTAATGTTTATTTATACTGTTCATGCTCACTACTTGTAGCACTTCGGGATTTGAAATCAAATATGAAGTGCTTTATAAATGGAACCCATTATTATTATGTCTGCTCATCACCTCAAGCTCAACCTTGACAAGACTGAACTGCTTTTCCTTCCGGGAAAAGATTGTCCCACTCTTGACCTAACAATCAACATCGGCACCTCTGTTGTTTCCCCCGACTCAGACTGCAAGGAATCTGGGTGTGATCCTAGATAACAACCTGTCCTTGAATGCAAACATAACTGCTACAACCCGCTGCTGCAGATACACGCTTTATAACATCAGGAGGATACGTCCCCTTCTGGTCCAGGCTCTCGTCATCTCACGCCTATACTACTGCAACTCCCTCCTGGCTGGTCTACCTGCATGTGCCATCCGAGCTCTGCAGCTCATCCAGAATGCAGCGGCTCGTCTGGTCTTCAACCTTCCTAAATTCTCCCACACCACGCCGCTCCTCCGCTCCCTCCACTGGCTTCCGGTAACTGCTAGAATCCACTTCAAGACAATGGTACTTGCGTACCATGCTGCCAATGGATCTGGCCCTTCCTACATCCAGGACATGGTTAAACCGTACACCCCAGCACGTGCACTCTGCTCTGCATCAGCGAAACAGCTCGCTGCACCCTCACTGCGAGGGGGACCGAAGTTCCCATCAGCAAAAACACGTGGGTTTGCTATCCTGGCTCCAAAATGGTGGAATGAGCTCCCCATTGAAATCAGGACAGCAGAAAGCTTACACACCTTCCGGCGCGGATTGAAAACTCATCTCTTTCAACTCCACTTCGAGCGATATAATTACTAACAAAGCACTTATATACTAATAAAGGACTGGCTTATCTAAAGCCAGTTGAGTAGCACTTGAAATGTTTTGGCTCTATGAAACCTGATGTACTTATATGATTCTGTTTTCTTCAAGTTTGTATTTTGTTGGTCGAACGCACCTATTGTAAGTCGCTTTGGATAAAAGTGTCAGCTAAATGCAATGTAATGTAATGTGTATGTTTTCACATTATAGACATGAACAGACAAGTGAATACCAAGTGATTTTATTTCGTTTTCAAAATTCTGGCACATGTGTGTTAAGAGTCTTTATTGGCACCAGAGAGAAGACTGAAAAATAAAAACCAGGGCTGTGAACCAGTGGGAGAAGTGAAGAAAATAAACTGGTAATTTCTTTAGGGATTTGCTGCCAGGACCTCTTCAAACCAGGAGTGGAACTCACACAGTTTGACGTAGACCCCGGGGTAGTTTGGCTCGGCACATCCCTGACCCCATGTCACCAGGCCGTGCACCTCTCCGTCACACACCAGAGGGCTGCCAGAGTCACCCTCTTGCTGCTGTTGCAGCTGTTGCCGCTGTTGCAGCTGTTGCAGCTGTTGCAGCTGTGGCAGCAAAAATCAATGCAGGGGTTGCAGGGGTTGCCGCTGTTGCAGCTGTTGCTGCAAAAATCAATGCAGGTGTTGCCGCTGTTGCAGGTGTTGCAGCTGTGGCAGCAAAAATCAATGCAGGTGTTGCAGCTGTTGCAGGGGTTGCCGCTGTTGCAGCAAAATTCAATGCAGCTGTTGCAGGGGTTGCCGCTGTTGCCGCTGTTGCAGCAAAATTAAATGCAGGTGTTGCCGCTGTTGCAGGTGTTGCAGCTGTGGCAGCAAAAATCAATGCAGGTGTTGCAGCTGTTGCAGGGGTTGCCGCTGTTGCAGCAAAATTCAATGCAGCTGTTGCAGGGGTTGCCGCTGTTGCAGCTGTTGCTGCAAAAATCAATGCAGGTGTTGCCGCTGTTGCAGGGGTTGCCGCTGTTGCGGCAAAATTCAATGCAGCTGTTGCAGGGGTTGCCGCTGTTGCAGGGGTTGCCGCTGTTGCAGCAAAATTCAATGCAGCTGTTGCAGGGGTTGCCGCTGTTGCAGGTGTTGCCGCTGTTGCAGCAAAATTCAATGCAGCTGTTGCAGGGGTTGCCGCTGTTGCAGCTGTTGCAGCTGTTGCTGCAAAAATCAATGCAGGTGTTGCCGCTGTTGCAGGGGTTGCCGCTGTTGCAGCAAAATTCAATGCAGCTGTTGCAGGGGTTGCCGCTGTTGCAGGTGTTGCCGCTGTTGCAGCAAAATTCAATGCAGCTGTTGCAGGGGTTGCCGCTGTTGCAGCTGTTGCAGCTGTTGCTGCAAAAATCAATGCAGGTGTTGCCGCTGTTGCAGGGGTTGCCGCTGTTGCGGCAAAATTCAATGCAGCTGTTGCAGGGGTTGCCGCTGTTGCAGCTGTTGCTGCAAAAATCAATGCAGGTGTTGCCGCTGTTGCAGGGGTTGCCGCTGTTGCGGCAAAATTCAATGCAGCTGTTGCAGGGGTTGCCGCTGTTGCAGCTGTTGCTGCAAAAATCAATGCAGGTGTTGCCGCTGTTGCAGGGGTTGCCGCTGTTGCGGCAAAATTGAATGCAGCTGTTGCAGGGGTTGCCGCTGTTGCAGGGGTTGCCGCTGTTGCAGCAAAATTGAATGCAGCTGTTGCAGGGGTTGCCGCTGTTGCAGGTGTTGCCGCTGTTGCAGCAAAATTCAATGCAGCTGTTGCAGGGGTTGCCGCTGTTGCAGCTGTTGCTGCAAAAATCAATGCAGGTGTTGCCGCTGTTGCAGGGGTTGCCGCTGTTGCGGCAAAATTAAATGCAGCTGTTGCAGGGGTTGCCGCTGTTGCAGCTGTTGCTGCAAAAATCAATGCAGGTGTTGCCGCTGTTGCAGGGGTTGCCGCTGTTGCGGCAAAATTCAATGCAGCTGTTGCAGGGGTTGCCGCTGTTGCAGCTGTTGCTGCAAAAATCAATGCAGGTGTTGCCGCTGTTGCAGGGGTTGCCGCTGTTGCGGCAAAATTCAATGCAGCTGTTGCAGGGGTTGCCGCTGTTGCAGGGGTTGCCGCTGTTGCAGCAAAATTCAATGCAGCTGTTGCAGGGGTTGCCGCTGTTGCAGGTGTTGCCGCTGTTGCAGCAAAATTCAATGCAGCTGTTGCAGGGGTTGCCGCTGTTGCAGCTGTTGCTGCAAAAATCAATGCAGGTGTTGCCGCTGTTGCAGGGGTTGCCGCTGTTGCGGCAAAATTAAATGCAGCTGTTGCAGGGGTTGCCGCTGTTGCAGGGGTTGCCGCTGTTGCAGCAAAATTCAATGCAGCTGTTGCAGGGGTTGCCGCTGTTGCAGGTGTTGCCGCTGTTGCAGCAAAATTCAATGCAGCTGTTGCAGGGGTTGCCGCTGTTGCAGCTGTTGCAGCTGTTGCTGCAAAAATCAATGCAGGTGTTGCCGCTGTTGCAGGGGTTGCCGCTGTTGCGGCAAAATTCAATGCAGCTGTTGCAGGGGTTGCCGCTGTTGCAGCTGTTGCTGCAAAAATCAATGCAGGTGTTGCCGCTGTTGCAGGGGTTGCCGCTGTTGCGGCAAAATTCAATGCAGCTGTTGCAGGGGTTGCCGCTGTTGCAGGGGTTGCCGCTGTTGCAGCAAAATTCAATGCAGCTGTTGCAGGGGTTGCCGCTGTTGCAGCTGTTGCTGCAAAAATCAATGCAGGTGTTGCCGCTGTTGCAGGGGTTGCCGCTGTTGCGGCAAAATTCAATGCAGCTGTTGCAGGGGTTGCCGCTGTTGCAGGGGTTGCCGCTGTTGCAGCAAAATTCAATGCAGCTGTTGCAGGGGTTGCTGCTGTTGCAGCTGTTGCTGCAAAAATCAATGCAGGTGTTGCCGCTGTTGCAGGGGTTGCCGCTGTTGCGGCAAAATTCAATGCAGCTGTTGCAGGGGTTGCCGCTGTTGCAGGGGTTGCCGCTGTTGCAGCAAAATGCAATGCAGCTGTTGCAGGGGTTGCCGCTGTTGCAGGTGTTGCCGCTGTTGCAGCAAAATTCAATGCAGCTGTTGCAGGGGTTGCCGCTGTTGCAGCTGTTGCTGCAAAAATCAATGCAGGTGTTGCCGCTGTTGCAGGGGTTGCCGCTGTTGCGGCAAAATTCAATGCAGCTGTTGCAGGGGTTGCCGCTGTTGCAGGGGTTGCCGCTGTTGCAGCAAAATTCAATGCAGCTGTTGCAGGGGTTGCTGCTGTTGCAGCTGTTGCTGCAAAAATCAATGCAGGTGTTGCCGCTGTTGCAGGTGTTGCCGCTGTTGCAGCAAAATTCAATGCAGGTGTTGCAGCTGTTGCAGGGGTTGCCGCTGTTGCAGCAAAATTCAATGCAGCTGTTGCAGGGGTTGCCGCTGTTGCAGCTGTAGCAGCAAAAATCAATGCAGGTGTTGCAGCTGTTGCAGGGGTTGCCGCTGTTGCAGCAAAATTCAATGCAGCTGTTGCAGGGGTTGCCGCTGTTGCAGCTGTTGCTGCAAAAATCAATGCAGGTGTTGCAGCTGTTGCAGGGGTTGCCGCTGTTGCAGCAAAATGCAATGCAGGTGTTGCAGCTGTTGCAGGTGTTGCAGCTGTTGCAGCTGGTGCTGCTGTTACAGCTGTTTCACACACACACAAACAGAGAAAGAGATAGATTTGTGTTTTAAAGTTATCCTCAACCACAACCATTCATCTTTTTTATTCAATATCTTACAATACAGTATGTTTTCTATACTGTTTACTGTTTGTGTGTGTATCTTTGTGAATGTGTGTATTATAGTGTTAATTGCGTTGACTAAAACTATGACGAAATATGTACTCCAACAACTTTTTTTTCCATGACTAAGACGAGACGATGACGAGACGGTACCGACGTCAGTAAACAATAACTGTAACGAAATCTACATGCAATATCGTTGAGGAAAAGTGACGAGACGACAATGTAGTTTACTAAACAAAAACGTTGCCAAAATCTCTCTTTACTTTCGTAGGGAGGAGGAGACGAAATATTATCAAAGATAACGTTACATCTGATAGTCAGTTTTTCTCCCAGCAGTTAAATTGCCGGTGCTGCGGCTGGTCAGCAGTTGTGTGTAGTGATGGTAATTCCGTCTCTTTTTAGTGAGCCGGAACATTTGGCTCGGCTCACTAAGAAGAGCCGGCTCTTTCGGCTCCCAAACGGCTCTTCATTTGAGCACATATACATTTTAGAATGTAATCAAATTTAGCCCTGTTTTGACAAATGATTTATATGTGTACACATATAGTAATTAAATTATTCAATACATTCTTTGTAATGAAGTATTCAAAAGTAAAAATTACATTTTAATATAAATGATTTGCTGTGGCCAATTGTTTTCATTGCATTTATAGACCCTTGTAACTCTCTGATACCACCGAATGAATGCACTGACTTGCTTGTAGAACCACGCTACACAAAGCAGATAGCAACACCTATAAAAACTTTAGCATAGACATTTAAAAAAAGGACAGCTACTGTATCGACATTTTTAAATTGTATTTAAAGAAAAAGCCAGCAGGGATCTATTTCAGTATTAACTAAAAAGTCAGCAACAGCTGATATCAAATCTTTGCTGAGCCTAAAGATAGTCATAAATAAATAACATAGTGAAAATAAATATATTGCAATACTCAAAACAGCAGCATCCAACCGTCTCTAATCATAACAAAATAAATAATAATAAATAAATGTATTGCAATGTGCAAAACAGCAGCATTCAACCGTCTCTAATCCTTGGATATGACATCTCACTGCATGCATGCAGAACCCGTAGCGCGGAGATCATCATATCATGCTGTCTAATATCCCCCCCCACCCCTCAGCGCAAGTGAGTGAAGAGTTGTGTACAGACCCGACGGGTAATAATGGATTATGACCGAAATGTTACGATCCTGTCCTTCAAAATGACTGAAAATGAAAAAGTCTAACGCCACCACTGCTTGGGAGAAAGAAACAAGGCAATTTTTGGGCCCATTATTGCTACAATGAGGGGGAGAAAAAAAGTGAATGCATTGTTTTATCAGAAGGGAAGCATTGTGGCCATAACACAGCTCGTAAAAGCACCAAAAACCTGACCAGATAATCTCTGCAAAGCTGCATTCTTAATCATTCAACCTGTGTTTTTCATCAAATAAGGATAAGATATAATCTTATTGGGAAATAAGTTTGACTAAAATGACAAATTGTTGGTTTTGGCTGGACTAGTTTGACTGAAGTTTTCTATATAATCTGATGACTAAAAAATACTCAAATGTCAACAGTTTTCATTAACAAAAAGTAGACTAAAATGCTCAGACTTTTAAATCTTCAACTAAATCTTGACTAAAATAGTTACTGTTTTCTTTGACTAAAATAAGACTAAAATGCTCAGAATTTTAGTCGACTAAAACTTGACTAAATAAAAACAGAATGAAGGTGACTAAATATGACTAAAACTAACAAGGACATTTGATACAGGACTAAGAGTAAGACTAAATAATAAAATAGCTGACAAAATGAACACTATTGTATTACTGTGTATTTACCAGCAGCTCCGATCAGCAGCAGCAGAGCCAGGAGTTTCATGGTGTCAGGTGAATGTTCAGAAGACTCCTGGACACACACCTCGGCTCAAATTTATATCCCAGCAGCCCCACAGTGCTCGTCCCCCTCACCTGACCGCCCCCCCCCGCCTCCTCCTCTTCTCTCCCCCCTATTTCTCTTGACCCAATCTGTGTCCTCACAGTCTTGGCACTCAGTTTCAAACCAAATGTACTTTCTTATCACACTCCTCATTTTGTGTTTGCCCACTTCGGCCCAATCGTAGCGCAACACCCCGTGGTTATATCATCTGTGCACCTTATTTAAAATGTGGACCAAGGTCTTACGGCTGGAGGGCAAGGTACGCAGGACCCAAATGCAGAAAATAGGTTTGAAAGCAGGAATCCTTTATTTCCAGAACTAGGCCAGGCAAACAAAGTCAAAACTAAGGCAAGGCAAACCATAAAGTCACTCAGAACGTAAACCCTTCCAACAACGTTAAGAATCTCACCATGACAGATAGAAAAAACAGAACTGAAATGCACACAACACTAATCACATGAACAAGACACAGGTGGGGAGGGAGGAGAAAACGCAGGGGCATTTTAACACATGATATAAGGCTGAATTGGGGTGTTTTTTGTGTCCCTCCTAATCATTTTATCTCGCTCTTATCTGCAGTGTTCAACCCATTGTACCTCCAGTGTGTGGAAGTCCCCATCCTTTCTCACAAGGACTGCGATGGCTCCTACCCCGGCCTGATCACTGACCGCATGGTGTGCGCTGGATACCTGGAGGGAGGCATGGATGCTTGTCAGGTATTTTCAAACAATTACACGGCACATACAATGAGGTTATATTGAACGAGGTGAAGGGAATAAAGTGATGTCTCTCTCCTGCTCAGGGTGACTCTGGTGGTCCTCTGGTGTGTAACGGAGATCTGTAGGGTGTCGTGTCCTGGGGCCAGGGCTAAGCTCAACCCAACTACCCGGGCGTTTCAGGGGTGACATTTCCATAAAAAAAGATATATAAACCACAGTCAAACAGCTAATGTCAATAAACAGAAACGTTTCACAACATTGCATTAGCTTGAGGGCAAATTAAGTGGCAACCCTTGGTTTTGAAAAGATAAGCTAACAAAAGTCTATTAAATGTTCATTATCTCAATTTGTTTTAAAGATTTTCCTAACGAGTTTGTAGTTTAAAAACACATTTTTAATATACAGCAAGATGTACCTTCAGTAATCTATGGTCCCATTTACAGTACAATAAAGGACGTGCATGGCTTTCTCTCCTTATACCTTAATCCCTTTTACAGTGTTTTATTTAGTTAATTAAGGTGTATTGTAAAATGTCTTGTTTCAGTGTTGGTTTATACTTAGCTTCAGCCTCTCGTGTCATATCTGCTTCCAAAAAAACGACATGTCAATAGTCCAAATGCCAAACTCAAGGCTTATTCTACAATCCACTAACTTCACAGAGATTATGTCCAATTCGTATCTAAAGTGTATTGTGCTTTTCCTTAAACACACATTGCCAAACAATCTCTCAATAAGATTTCCATCAAAATAAGACACACAAACTGTAGCTTTTACCAGTTAACCTCTGCATAGATACGGGCTATCTGAGAACAATTGTCAACTACAAACATTGACATTAGTTCAAAGACCACTGTTTTGCTCAAAATGAGATTAAGTACCTGATAAGAGAATGATTTATGACCCCCATAAACCTTAGTCCCACCTCCCTTTGATGTGGCACCTGTCACTCTGACATCTCTGACCTTTGACCATCTTATCTTTTATGACTTGTTTGTTTATTGTTTTATTGCCCCCTCATAAAGGATGTTGCTCAATAGTGGGTGATAAGACTTTATTGCCCCTTTGATTCGAAAACCTGTCATAGTGTCCTTAGTAGGTCATTATAGTCAACGATGAAACCATTATAGTCAATGATGATAGTATGACTTGTTTAGCTGTTTATTGTTTTATTGCCCTCCTCATAAAGGACGTTGCTCAATAGGGGGTGATGAGACTATTGCCCCTTTGATAGTGACACCTGTTGTAGTATCCCCCTAGTAAGCCATTATAGTCAATGATGATAATATGACTTGTTTCGGTCACCTGTTGTGGTTGTAATGCCCTCTATAAGGATGTTGCTCAATTAGGGGTGATAAGACCCACCCTGCTGCACCTACGTCAGAGCCCTAAACCCTCACAAACCTCCTCACACACCCCCCTCACACTACCCCCTCCCACCCTGCTGCACTTATGAACACAGAGGGGAGTCTTTGAGTTTTTACCTGCAACTATGTCTCTGAAAGGTGTCCACAGTGTTGTTTTAAAAAAATAAGTAATCTTTTCAGATAATCTAGTTCCTTTCTCATAGTAAGGATAATAATAATTGACAGAGAGGCTGTACAAATCTAAGAAATGGGGCTCAGAGCCTCAGAATACTGAAATCTGTATTTTTTTAAATCTTTTTTTCCTTCTAATTTGTTATTCTTTTCTATATAACACACTGTTATTTACTCACCAATAACACACAATTATCCTTGTTTTTATTTATTTGTTTGATTCCATAATCTTGGGCTTTTTTGGCATCCGTCAGGAACTGAATTTCAAAATAAAAATAACCGGAAACAGACGTAGGACATTTCGAGCATCATTGCAATACACAGCCACTGAACTGATTACCCAAGATCCTCAGCTATGGTTTAAGCTCGCTGATTGGATGTTTTAGCCGCAATGCATGTAGGGATATGGTGTTAATGCAATTATGAAATCCGAAAAACCTTTTTTTTTAGTGTTTTTCACGATTCTTGTGTTATGTCACGTTTTTAGTTTTGTATGTCTTGTTATGGGTGTTTTGCTGTTCTCCCTGTCATGTTTTCCTCCTTGTATATTGTCTGGTCCTTCTCCCTGTGTTTTCCTCCCTGTTGTTAGTTTCCCTGGTGTGTCTAATTGTCTGATTGTGTTCACCTGTACCCCTTGTGTGTCTCCTGTGCTCATCATCACAAGCCCCACCCCTGATTGTTTTCACCTGTGTCTTGTTGTCATGTGTTTAAATTCCCCTGTCTCCCAGTGTTCAGTGTCAGTTTGTCTTGTCTCTTGCCATGGTCAGGTCTATGCTCTCTGTGCTCTTGAAAAGTTTTGTTCCTCACTACGTGAGCGATTTTCCTTTTGTTCTCATTTGTTGTCATCTCATCCTGAGATTAGTTAGTGACCATTTTTTGTTCATCTTGCTGTTTTTTGGAAAAATAAAGTATCTTACCAATACTTTACCTCTGTCTCCCGGGTAGTGCAATTGGGTCCTACCTCCTGAGTGCCTGAGTTCTTAACAGAACGAACTGACCTCTTAACAGATCTGTTAAGAATCAGAATTAGCTTAGAAAATATATTACTTTACAATAGCATCTAAAACAGGCAGCTATAGGGGCTAGAGGAAGTATTTTCTCTCAATAAAACAGATAAGATTATATTTTGTAGCAACATGACAGAGAACGATAGGAGGGGGGATTCATTTCTTTACAAGTCCCAGTTCACCCCTTTACTCTTATCAATGTGTTTGAGATAACTATGAGGGTTTCTCGTTGGTTCCAGAAATAACGTTAACGTAGATATTGCAATATGGTTTGTTGAGCTGGAGTTGATTATTGAAGCTTACTGGTTAACGTTCATCATATTAAACGAACGAACCCAAATCTTGTTGTTTTTATTAATATTATTACCAATACTTACTTAGCATTTTATTGTCAGTACACCGGAGAAACCGACTTGTGGCAGCAGAACGTGAACATGTAACTTAATGCCTGCATTTAAGGATGAAAAATGGCTCAGTCAATGCTTTAGGGACAAGGAAATGATTTGTTTAAATATTAGATATGACGTTATGTGTTAAAGATGTTTGTCTTTTACCCTAACGTGTGTGTTACAAATGAATGTGAATATGGCATAGGACAAATATATAATTTGAATGTCTCATGAAAAGAGATTCCAAAATAACAGTAAAATAAAAAGGACCCCAACTATACAATAATACACAATCCAACTGATAAGGGCTGTGATATCCAGCACTTGTATCAGGATAACAAACAAATTATGACATGACGTTTGCATGTAAAAAAGTCTGTGACCAACACATGTTACTTTACATATATATATACTTTTTTGCCCCACTGTATGTATATACTGTATATCTGTTTGTTTAAAGTTTCCAGGTGATGCAGACAGACCAGAGGATGCTGAACACGAGAGACAGACCTATATTCCTAAAAGCAGTGAACTTCATCATGGAGTCAAAGGTACAAAGACCCCTTTCATACTGTACAAATAATCGAGAGACGTTCTGGTTTAAATAGATAAAGTAACAACTATAATACACTGATATACATTCCATTAAACATTACTAAATACTGACATCAGAGAAGTTGAGTGTTCCTTGCTTGTAAAAAGTTACCTTTCGATTTTACTAAGCAACATGATTTTTTTGTCAGCTTTCACATTTCAATGTATTGAAGGCAATTATTATGTTATATTGTGAGAATAGCTACCATTTGTCTCTACATAATGTCTGTAAAAGACATGGTAAAAGTGGTTCTTGCAGTGAGACAACCGAACAGCATGATACTACATTTACACTAAGTTCTGATAACAGTTGAATATTATTTTAATAATAACATATATTTTAATGTTGATTAACTGCAGACTGTTCATTCATAATCTGATGATCTTTGTCGTACAAGGTGATGAATTTAAAAAACACATTAAAATAAAAGATATATTAGTTCTACAGCCGCTTAATAAACAAACCTCTTTCATAAATAACACACTTGCTCTGCAATAATTAGGTTTTATGTTTCTTGTCATTTCTGTTAGGAAAGGACATACCTGAAGGACACAACTGCCACACCGTTTTCTCCGAGGAGCAAGAAGAAAATGAAAAGCTGATATGAGATTAAAGACCAATACAGGACATTCACTTAGAAACTACACTTTTATTGTGAACACAAGGATCTGCACACTGAATAGTGTGTAGTCAAACAG